GCTATATCCCTGGCCTTATTTATTTATTGGTTTGTTTATTTATTATTTTGAGGCAGAGTCTTGCTGTGTAGATAAGACTGGACTTGAACTTGTGATTCCCCTGCCTCAGCCTCTGGAATTAGCAGGATTGAAGGCATGCACTACCACTGAAGGACCAATCACAATTTTCTAAACACCTCCTTCTCAAAAATAAAAAAGGGTAACTTCCTGTGAAGGCAAGATTCCTGTAAATCCTATCAGAAAAGTAAATACCTACTTCATTGAAGAACCAAAATGGCAAATCTTACTTCTTTCTCCCAAACATAAGAAACACATAAATAGTAAAATGGCTTATGTTTGTGAGAATTTGAAAAAAGAGAACCACACTGAATTTATTAAGGTGGCAAGATGTTTAATAAAAGTTTCTTTTACTATTTTTCTTCTTCCTTTATATTAGATTAAATCCTCCATACTTCTATTCCTTAAGTACTGTTATATGTTATTCTATGATTTTAAAATATCTGTTACTAAATATTATCAATATTGATAACCATGAAAAGATAAGACACCCTTTTCTAACAATACCTGGTATGAACCCCAAACCAACTGGTTCCTCTAACAATTGAGGAAGATATGCTTCTTATTGCTAAAAATATAGATGTTGATTGATTTTAGGCACAGGGTTCATGTGCCTTCAGTTAGGCAGTCATTGGACATATTTAGTGTGTATACCTGGCATTGTGAAATTAGGACTTAAAGAAGAAAAACAAAACAAAACTCTGGCCTCAAAAATATTACATTTTAATATATAACACCAACATTTCCCTAAGTCTGCATATTTAGAGAGAAGTTATTGGATTTTCCTCAGACTGTCAGGGAACTTCACTGAAAATAGATGACTCAATTATACAAAATATACTGACTCTGGCATACTACAGGGGAGACTTGCCATAATGGTAGTTTCCAATAAAATAACTGGAGTAAAGGTGATGCTCAGAACTAGGTGTTTCTTCTTCTAGAGGTGTAAATGTGCCAAGACTCATTAGAGGATTGTGTCAAAGAAGGCTGGGCTGAAGGTCACTTGTTTGTGTTTTGTGTCTTCTTTAGGTTCCCTTCCTTGGTCTTTCCACAGCTTTATAGGGTTCCCTATTATTTTGACCAAATGTGCATTGTGATGGATGGGACATGATCCTTTCAGCAGAATTACTTAATTAGGTTTAAGTAAGCAGTATGTGCCAAGTAGGATAGGTTTGCTTTCTAGCCATAAAAATGTGCCTGCGATGCATGCTGTATTCCAAGGAAGGAAACCTAGTGATTGATGGGATGATAAAACGATGAAGGGAAGGATGAAGCCTGAGAGATAAAAGTCTCAAAAGGAAAATAAAGTAGGGTAGCAGCTGCCCCCATTGTAATTGAAGCATAAATTTGAAGAAGAGGATCTGAGGTTTAATTTCAAGCACATACTGAGAGTGTTTAGTGTGTGTGTGCACATAAGCACACACATGTAAAACCTTACAAAAGTACACACACAATGTAATGAAAAACATGTAAGTTAAATTCTGTTCATGCTTTTAAAACCATTTCTAAAAAAAGGAAGAATTTGGGAAATGTAGTCTTAAATTATCACTAAAAAATTCTCATTTCATCAGTATTTGAAAAAATAACAGAGCCAATGATGGATATAAGCTGCCCTAGGTATTGGTGAGGCAGTGGGCTAGAAATGACACATTTCTGCACTAAAGGCACTGAATACTCTTAGTTTATCTTTTCTCTCTGCACATAATTTCCCTGCCTATACCTCACTCTGCACAAGCATCATTTATCAATAAAAATAGAGATTAGGCTACATTTCTTTCATTATTTCATATTTCACTATATTTGTGCATGTAAAACACTCCAGGCTAGTCACTACCTATATATCCAGCCTCTTCTTACATCTCTCCTCTATGTACCCCAATGTTAAGCTTTCAATTCTTCAAACATATGTTTCTTTTTACAGCATGGTGACTTTGTCAGACTGTGCCATGAGCCTCAAGTAACTTCATGCCTATTTCAAATTAATTAAAATTCTCCCCACTCTTTAGCTATGCAGCTGAAACGCCTTTTACGTCTCAAAAACCTTCTAGCATACCTATCAGATTTAATAGGCCTTCATCTTAATTTCCGGAGAATTCTGCTTGACCTAATGCATTACAATTTCTGGTCCATTTTTCCTGGAATGAGTTACTTGTGTATCATGGATTTTTGTTTGTTTGTTTGTTTGCTTGTTTCTGTGGGTATAAACTACTTGAAGATTGGACAAGGGAGGGTTGATTATTTGATTTTGGCCACATACTGTTTTACATGTTGTAGGCATGCAAAAAATGTTCATAGGGCAAATATGTTTGTGGCTACAAAATATATATGATTCATATAAGAGTTTTCATGATGGTATCAGCTGTTTGTATAAATTCTTGAGATTTTCCTTTAGAAGGTCTCAGAATGTGAAAAGTTGCCCAGGTGAGAATATCCTTTGCTCTCTGCAGGGAGCAAAGGATAGATATATTATGTACACAGGAACTACGTAAATGTTTTTCATGAACTAGTTTTGCCTTTATATGGGGCAGACTATTATCAGAAGTGCTTTGGAAAATCTCACCTTTTATATCCTGTCTTTATAGCTCAATATTGCTTCTATGCATGAGATATAGTAATATAAACCTGAACTAGACAAACCTTTACTTTAAAAATGCTTTAAGAAAAAAAAATGCTTCGAAGCTTAGGAACAGTGCAAAATTTTTATGGCTTTGTTATGAACTTCTAAAAAAACAGAATTGGGAAGCCTTGACACTCTTTTTACTTCATGCAGAAGCTAGCATACATCACCATAAAAAATGCAACTTCCATTCATACAACAGAGCCCAAAATGAATTTAAAACTAATATAAACTATAAAACTGCAATGTATAAATTTTCCATCCATTTAAAAGTAGTTAACCTTTAACTGAGAATGTATCAATTCATTGTAAAATCCTCTGTGTTCCATAGGACACTTCTAAATCATATATTTTATGCAGGACATTGGAAAACACCATCTCTGTAAACCTATGTAGAAGATTCATTGCAAAGAACTGAATAAAGAGAAGTTATGTTTCTTTGTAACACATGGATCAAAATTATTGTACACTTTCCCTAAAATTGGTAACTTATATGGTTCAGAAAGATACAATATGCTAAAGAATGAAACACATTTCTTACAAATAGAGTTGAGCTCTATCTTTGTGACAAGATAATTGCTAAGTGCCTGATCACATGATTATTTACCTTTAAAATAGACTTAATTTTATTCCCCCCTTCAATCTTCTGGTTTAGAATGCCGAGGTTTTGACATGCAGCCCAATTATGTTGAAAATATTGAAGTAAACATAATCAGTATGAACTTTATTTTGGACTCAGAGTTGAAAATTTACAAGTTTAAAACTCTGAGAGGCTACCATGAGGTGTCACAATAATTATGTGCTAGATACCAATGCTATGAAGCATGGGACTTGGTTTCACTTTTCAACAACGCATCCTGCATTTTGATTTCCCTTTTATTTATGACTGGTAAAATTCTTCTAAATGTGGGTAATACATTTTTCACTAAACAGAGCAAAAATTTATCTACCAACTCAATTCATCCAATAAGACTTTCTGCCAGGAGTTAGGAGATCTATACTATTTCTAACAGAGTTTAAATTTATGATTGGGATTTTCACTCTCATGATATCACCTTACAAACAAATAAGTCAAGTGGATTTCAGAAGGGATCTTTTCAAGGCAGGTGCAGTGGTGCATGCCTGGCCCATCAGCTTGGGGCGCAAGTTCAAAGCCAGACTTAGCAATGGTGAGGTACTTAGCAACTCAGTGAGACCCTGTCTCTAAATAAAGTACAAAATAGGACTGGGGATGTGGCTCAGTGATCAACTGCCCCTGAGTTCAATCCCCAGTACCAAAAAAAAAAAAAAGGAGATAATTTTCAAATACGTTGGAAGTCCTTATTTACATCAAAACAAAGATGTCAGGATATACTATTTTGACTGAGTCCCATTTACTTTATTTTCATAAAGTAAGAAAGCAATGTTTTGTAAAAAGTTTGAAGAATTCAAGCATTGCTGGCATTGAAAAATTGCCCTCCATTTTTTCTACATTAATAAATTTTACTTATGGCATTTCTGTTCCTATACTTGTACCTAAAAGAGAGTTTGAAGTTTCTAAAAATTTTGGCGATCTTAAAAGTCAGAAGATAAGAATAATTTGTGATTTCTCCAACTAAGTGATGATCACTTAAATTATACTGTGAATGAAAGAGTTAGAGAAAAATACTATCTGACCCAATTATGAGCAATAATTGAGAAGACTTTCCAGAATGAAATAGAGAAATTAAATAAAAAGATACTTGAATTAGAGTGTAATATTGTCAATTCTTGCAACAGTAATAGTAGAGTATGTCATTGTATCATCATTTTAAATAAAATACGAATAGAATTTAGAATAATTAACGATTTCAGAAAAATGAAAATTAAAATAATGGTCTAATCTTCTGAATCATAGTAAATTTGAAGCATGTTTATTAGATCACATACCATGAACTTATATTCACATTTTTATATTGTGCAATATATAAATACTGAAAGGCAACACTTTCCTTTCTTCACCTTTGAAAGTATAACTGTTTATGCCACTAGAGTTCAGAGTAGTTACTTAAAAAGGAAATCCCTATAGCTTGCCATTTAGGCCACTGCATTAAACTTGTGCATATAGTATTCTCAGGCCTGCTTTATGCATATCTTAAAATAGCTTCTCTCTCCTCTGGAGAGAAAAGGAATTCAATTATTACTATATACATTCTCCTGAAGCCAAGGAAGCTTCACTCTTCAGGCACCTGTTCAGTGGACTTAAGAGAACAAATAGAAAAGCTATACATTATTCAATACATCTTGGCAGCACATGAAAGCCCTTAGAGCAAGTGATAAATGATCAGATGTCTCCCTCAAACCTTACCTGGTTTACTCTTTTTAAAAATCCAAACCTTGCTGTCTATCACACAAAGCTCTTGGCCACTGGGTGAAATCCAAACCGAGTAGTTGATCATGATAATTCCAACATGTCACGGGCAGCAGCATCTCTCAAAGTCCCACAAGCCAATTGCTTGAAATGCACCTGCAACAAACAAGTTATTTCTTCATTTTAATTGAAAAATAGTGAACCATGTCCTATGACTAGGAGGCATCACCACTTAATCAATAAGGGAATCATAAAGGAGTGTGTGAGGGGCTATAAATACCTCTTGAGATGCTGATAAACGTAAAACTGGAAGACAAAAGTTTATATGCTATAGATGCTGTTTTCACCAAGTGTGTGCTACTTTAGTTATTGATTTGTGTAAGCTGGCAGCATTAATATATACCATTGATATGAAAACTCACACTACTATAGTGCATATTTCTTCACCTACTTTATATAAGTGACCACTTGGGGCACTGAGTATTTTTCTGACTCTATCCATAATAATCTTAGGGTAAGTGAGTATTAAGGTATAATAATGCAAAACTCATCAGCAGCTAGAATAAAATCCACATCATAGTATGGATCAAGGACAGTTTCCTTTGTGAACTGACTCAGCAGTAATGTCAACATTCCCAGTATAAAAACTGGGTCACCTATCTGGAATAATGTGTCAGAAATAACTTTAAGGTGCATATGTGAGGTATTTCAAATTTAGCAGCCACCAGTTTTCATACCAAGATACTAACTATAATTCAATAACTGATATGAACTCATTGCAGAAAGAGTTTTGCTTAAAGGAATATTCAAAGCCTAAGAAAATAGTAAGGGGACTAATTGAAGGCATTCTATCACATATTTACTGGCTCAGCTGTTTGTGTTCATATGATTAAATATGGTGGTTACAATTCGTAAGTTTGTTTGACTTCCACTAATGGAGAAACTCCCTGTTCACAATCAACAACTTTTACTGCACTGATATCTGCCATACAAATAACTGTGTTTAATAAAAATGTAGAAAAATACTAATTAACAGAATTGTTTAGTGACATTCCCAGGGTAGGCTTCAATAACTAATAGCTTTTCTTTTTAAAACAACAACCATATTTAATAATGCAAGTACAAAAATTATTATTGTTACTACTACTACTAATAATAATATAAATATTAAATAATAATAATTATTATATTTTCAAAGTGGACCATAGGATAGAATAAGAAGTTAGTCTAAGTTTGTGAGGAGACTTATGTGGTGATTATATTCTGCTGATCCATGGGCACAGGTGCAAAACCTGATTTTAACAAGCCACAAAATAATATATCCTCATGCTCCTGTGATTAGAGTTTCAGGTATTCCCATAAATCAGTGTGGAGACTTTGTTAAGACACAGCAATGAGATATCCTATTTCATTGGATACCATTCCAGCAGGAACAGTAAGATGGCAAGGGGTTAAAATCAAACACATATCTCAGCCTAAATAACTCATTAGAAAAAGACATGTATCTTCACATTATATGTCTATACTGCGATTTAATACAGGAGTGTTATCTTGATGCTATTAGTGATGCATATACACATTCAGATATACATACACACACACACACACACACACACACACACACACACACACACACACACACACCCGGCTAACATTTTCTCTCTTCCTGATCCAGACTCTGGTACTTGTTAACATACAACCTTAGTCGACTTCAAGATGCAAATTATTTTCATTCATGTCAGAATTTATTTTTACTTGTAATCATCTTTGAGAATACCCTGAAAATTATCAAATCAGTTACCCTGTAAAACAACCTGTTTCTTGAGTGGTTATCTTTATTGGTCTCTTGACTATGGTGCAAAATATTAAAAGAAGCCAGATACCAATGGAAGAGACGATAGCAGAGTGTTCATAAACATAATTTCCAAGTTCCCAAACTGGCTTTGACAAGAGGAATTCATAAAAGGTACAGGCTTTGGAGGCTCCCATCTGTGACCTAATTAATGCTACTTCTCATACTTTGATTCTGATGCTTATGACAAAAAAAAAAAAAGCACAACATAAGTCAAAATAGTTACTTGCTTCATTGAATGACTTTATTTTATCATACAGAAATAATGCTACTGATCCTTTCCCAGTCAGAATAGATTTTGTGTACTTTTCATTTTCAATAATGATGGTTCTCCACTGACCATTTATTACAGATTTATTCATTAGCCCACTTATTCCATAAATTTTAACTGAGCATCTCTGTTATGTCATGATGTAATTAGGGACTGCAGAAAAAAAAAGTTAAAAAAATACATAATTTCCTTTTTCAAAAAATTTTATTTATTTATTTATTCTAATTAGGCATATGTGACAGCAGAATGCATTTTGATTCACTGTACACAATGGCAGCACAGCTATTCATTTCTCTGGTTGTATAAGATGCAGCATCACATCATATGTGTAGTCATACATGTACCTAGGGTAATGATGTCCATCTCATTCCACTATGTTTCCTGACTCTATGATCCTCCCCCCTCCTTTCCCTTCTCTTTGCCTAATCACAGTTCCTCCATTTTCCCATGCCGCCCACCCCCACTACAGATCAGCATCCACTTATCAGAGAGAACATTTGGTCTTTGGTGTTTGGGGATTGTCTTATTTTGCTTAGCATGATATTCTCCAACTCCATCCATTTACTTGCAAATGTCACAATTTTATTCTCTTTTAATGCTGAGTAATATCCCATTGTGTATATATCCTACAGTTTCTTTATCCATTCATCTATTGAAGCATATCTAGGTTGCTTCCACAGCTTAGCTATTGTGAATTGAGCTGCTATAATCATTGATGTGACTGCATTATTATAGTATGTTGATATTAAGTCCTTTGAGTATAATCTGGGGGTGGGATAGCTGGGTCAAATGGTGGTTCCATTCAAAGTTTTCTAAGAAATCTCCACACTGTTTTCTAAAGTGGTTGCACCAATTTGCAATCCCACCAGCAATGTATGAGTGTGTCTTTTCCCTCACACCCTCACTAACACTTATTGTTGTCTGTATTCTTGATAACTGCCATTCTGACTGGCATGAGATGAAATCTAAGAGTAGTTTTGATTTGCATTTCTCTAGAGAGGTTGAACATTTTTTCCCTATATATGTTGATCAATTATATATCTTCTTCTGAGAAATGTCTGTTCAGATCCTTAGCCCATATATTGATTGGGTTGTTTGTGGGGGTTTTGTGGTTTTGTTTTGTTTTGGTGTTAAGTTTTTAAGTTCTCTATACATCCTGGAGATTAGTGCTGTATATGATGTTCGTGTGGCAAAAATTTGCTCCCAAAGTGTAGGCTGTCTTTTCACCTCATTCATTGTTTCTTTTGCTGAGAAGAAGCTTTTTAGTTTGAATCCATCCCATTTATTGGGTCTTGATTTTATTTCTTACACATTAGGAGTTTTGTTAAGGAAGTCAGGGCCTAATCCCACATGATGAAGATTTGGGCCTACCTTTTCCACTCTTAGGCAAAGCATCTCTGGTCTAATTCCTAAGTCCTTGATCCAGTTTGAGTTGAGTTTTGCACATAGTGTGAGAGAGGGGTTTAGTTTCATTTTGCTGCATACGGCTTTCCAGTTTTCCCAGCACCATTTGTTGAAGAAGCTATCTTTTTTCCAATGTATGTTTTTGGCACCTTTGTCTAGTATGAGATAACTGTATTTATGTGGGTTTGTATCTGGGTCTTCTATTCTGTGCCATTGGTCTACATGCCTATTTTGGTGCCAATACCATGCTGTTTTTATTACTTTAGCTTTGTAGTATAGTTTAAGGTCTGGTATTGTGGTGCTTCCAGTTTTACTCTTCTTGTTAAGGACTGCTTTGGCTATTCTGGGTCTCTTATTTTTGAAAAGACTACCCTGTATTCTATTCTGGTTTGTTAATATTTACTTATAGCAAAAACAACAACAACAACAAAAAAAAAAATTCAGCAACATTAGATCAAATCAAACAGCCTTATCTTACAATCAATCCACTATGAAACCAGACCATGGAATTTCATGAAGTTGGTGAATACAGTAATAACTGCTAAGGATAAGCCTGCAATGTAAAATGAACAATTCACATAGCTGTGCTTATTTGAGCAAAGGCTTATTGCTGGGATTAGTAGTCTGAAACTAAGCTGTTTTTAAATGCACTCTCCTTACCTTTGAGAAACTTTGCTTTAAAAACTGAGTTCTGAATGAATATATTTTATTCTTATAATTATACCCCATATAATGTTGATCTAAGTACTTTTAAATAAATTTTGACAATGTCCAAAACATTAAATGACAGATAGAAAGTATAGCACATAGAAATTATGGATATGATAGCATTATGAATGAATTTAAAACAAGACAAGGCCAAAACAATTTTTTTAAAAGTATAAAAATTCAGACATGCCTAGTCCTTTCCATATTTTCTTGTTTCTTGGTGTGGGCTTAAGTGCTCTGTGATTGAATTTTGGTATTCTTCCCTTTCCTTATGCACACCACTACTTCCCTTTTATCGCTTTGAAGAAGCTTTCAAAAGGATCCCCTCTGTACTTAGGCATTCATTTTATAGGCTATTGATTTGTACTTGTTGATATGTTGCTCTTTAAACGTGGTCTTGGGATATGTTTCCTCTTCCCGGTGGAGCAATGTTGCATCGCCCCCTGGGTTGCCAAGGGATCTGGAGGAGTGCTCAGCATTTTGTGAGCTCAGTGTACTTGTTAAATGACTGCTTGGTGTATTCATGTGTAAGTGACTCACTTTCCCAAACAAACATCAAAAAACTTAATAATGAAGAATGTTGGGATAGGTAGATTATCAATGATCATAATTAGGTTGCTTTCTGGGTTTAATAATTTCAAATCTATTTAATTTTACCAATGATTTTTTAGGAAAAGGAGGCTGTTATAAATATTAGTTGCAAAATAATTGCTTCTAAGTTCTTTTTCAGTCTTCATCTAGCCAGATTTTAAAAAGTCACACCTTCTTTCCCAGCAGGCAGAGGTAATGAGCAGCTACCAGTAATACTCCCAAGTGCCATTTGCTATCTATTTTACATATAGTTTCTCATTTAATTTTCTTAAAAAACTGTGTGAAGTACTCTGATAATGCTCACTTAAAAGTGATGAAAAACAAGGATCA